ACACAATTTTCGAAAGCTCATTATTGCATCATACCATTCATCGTGACGCACAGTGAATCGCCGGCTGGGGATGCCGACTCGTAAGCCAGTCGATCCGATAGTCTACTTCGAAAAAACCTGTGATAACACTTACGTAGCTTAGGTTTCTCTCTTTATTGATCCATGTTGGTTCGCCGAACATATTCGATCGATGGGATGGACTGAAGGCAACAACCAACATGATATTTATTTTCGGTATATCAGGCGTATATACATTTAAAAGGTGACGATAATATAAATATCTGACTGGCCGATCAAGGCTCAGTTATGAACCGTGACAGAGGCGAGCAAACAGAGCAAACGAATATAACCAGGCTAGCGATAGTCGATGTCATAGTCTTGAAAGGGCTGAGAGAACATAGGTTTAATAGGAAATGTTAGAGAGATGAGTAGATTAAAATGAAGGTTGTGAGCTAAAACGAGAGAGCGGGAATGAAGCTACGGAAGATACAGTAGAAACTATATGTCACGCACAGCAAATGATGTAATCGGGAAGGGACAATAGGGACAAATATGAAATAATTAGTCTCTTAAGATTGCGGTTGATGATACTGGATGAAGAGGTGTGGGGTGGGGAGGAGGGTTGATGCTCTATTTTATGCATTATCAATCCGTTGTTCGGGCCAGGGCAACAACAGCGTTTGGACTAACATTTTTTGCGTGCAGAACTTTGGATTAAAAATGCGAATTGCAATTGCCTCGACCGTGGTTAAAAGGTGCCTTCTTGTTCCCTTAGAATATCTCCGGGGTATAGTGTGAATAATTTAGAATGCATCCAACTTGTTCACACTTGTCACACAAACATACTTGTCATATTCGTTTGCTCTGTTTGCTCGTCTCTGTCATCGTTACTAACTGAGCTCTAGTCGACCAAACAGATACCTGTACTATATATGGAACCGCCTGAAGCGACATGTCGAAAAGAAAGTTGTTTGCGAACACAGATTTCTACATTATCTATGGGACTATTTTACGATGGTATTTATTGATTAGAACTTACCATCCTTCAGAATTCACCTTCGCGTACATTCCTCAGCGCTTTCAGGCAACTGTACACTCGGAATGATATTTGCCTACCCAGCTCGATCAACAATCACCACTGTTCTATTGGCGTCAAGTTTCCATCTTACTGTAAGCAGCTCTGACAGCATCATCACAGGGTCGGATGGTAGCTGAAAATAGGAAGATCGTGAACACTCAGAAAAATGTAATCGAACAGTCTTGTGTCAGATTGATAGAATGAAAGTTGTACAAATCGTACGTAGGAAGGGCAAAGGAATAGTGTGTGTGAGAGAGAAACGATTGTGATCGAACAAGCATTCTCACTTGTACGTATTACAAATCTGTTCTGGTATTGAACCGTATGTTGTGCGTTCCTGTATGTGTGTGTGTGGCAACAGACGTTGCGAGCCCAATCAGATCGACTGTCCCGGGATAACTAGCGTGAAGGTAATGCTCAGAAAAAACTGTTGTATTTGACCAAGCCGAGTAGTCTCTCAGGAGCGATATACTTTCATGACGGCTGTACACTGCGCACACACTTACTGGACGCGAGGTTTTCGGAACAACTGATATCTTAAGTCACTTACAAAGGTCCCGTTGCGAAGGACTTTTAAAAGAACCGAATGAGTGGTGAGAACATAGTTGATAATCAAGGGGTCGCAAATAATAAAAGACGTACGATACAGGTGAATCGTGCGCTACACACTTAACCGGATGTAAATTAGAGTGTGAAACAGAATCAACGTCAACATGTTTTTATGTTCGGCCTAGACGTACGTACGATCGATACGAACGCCTACCGCTTAGGCCACAAAATGACCACAACAACAAAAAGGCGGAAGAGAGAACTCAACCGGGGAGAAAAATCAGTGTATTCCAGAGTCTTGCTGTAATAGGCAAACCTAAATAGTCATTTGGTCACACGAGAACGGCATCGTGACGCACCAATCAGATTGCATCCTTCAAATTCCGATTGATCGATCGAACACCTACTGTCTGATTCGTTCTTCATTCCTCCACTCCAGACACAACTTGCCTTGGGCGTCGCAAGTGTGCTTGTAGCGTGAGACACATCCGTGCGCCACCTGAGGAGTTCGGTGAGCTCCGTCCTAACACTGTTGTAGCACTCCACAGCCTTCATTTTAATCGCAGATGAAGGAAAACACAAAAGATGAATAAAGCTATTTTTGAATTGACTTGACTTGAAAGTGATTAGACTGATTTTTGGGGGGATCCAGAATATAATGTGACGGAAAAACAGTGATCAATACGATTTGTGAATCTCTGTTAAAGTGCAGCATTCATGTGACGCATTCACAAATGGTGACTATGTAGTGTTAGGTGGTCGATAATTAGCAAACACTTTGCTACTCCTTATATCTCCCAAACCGATAAGTGCAATAGTTTAAACATGATTACCTGTGCCCGACCTTAGTTGGTCGCTAGATAAATAGATCCAGTACCTATAAGCAGGAAAGGTATTTTAATTTCACTGCCTTCTAAGCTCACGAAACCAACATATCTTCTTCTAACCTAAGCGGTTTACTGAGATTAAATTACTCTAGGCGAGGGAATGACCTGGATTTACCAGCTCATTTCAAAATATAGAAAACCGTTACAACCCCAAATGAACACACCAGTAACATATAGCCTATTCATCAATCGCGCCTAATGAGAGGGGACAATGCGATAGGGGCTTGGACCGCGACACGCAAGGCATTAGACAGAGTCTATCACAATGTCCATGACTGATTAATTGATTTATCCATCAAGAAATAAACGTAATTTATGGATTAGCCACCAGATCGGCATATGATTTGATAAGCTAGTAAAGGGAAAGGTTACCAAGTGTGTAGGAAACGAATTTTCTTTGGCAGTGTTAAGCTGGAAATTTTCAAGGCTAGCCTCATACATGACCTGGGCCAACGCAGAAAACACAGTAAGGGATGAGGAACTTTATTTATTAGTGAATCGCTGTTGACCAGGTCAATTGAAGCCAACGCATGGATAGGTTCAAACGTCGCGGCACAGAATTACATGTATAAATGGGACACAGTAGAACCAATACGGCATTGGGCAGCTACAAATACAGAAAAAAAACAGCACAATAGTAATATGCATTGAATAAATAACCGTTCAACTTTTCAATTATCATTCGGTATTAAATGTTGGGTGTGGTGTTGTCAAAAGATGCTGTCATTAATGAGCAGACTACTGATATGATCACAGCAGTTAAAGTACGAATACAAAAGTTCATTCAAATCTTGAGAATTTACAAAGCTTATCGCTCGAGAGATAATCGACGGTCAAATCTGGCAGCTTTCATATCAGAAGCGAGATAGCACATCTCAATCAATTGTATACTGACTCCATGCTAGGAGAAAAATCCTACCGTCAGCTTTGGAAGTTGTTCTGTGGTCGTTCAAATTTACCTACTACAGTCTCATATGATATCATTGAGCTCAACAAATCATTTGCTTCATTGAAGAACGTTGTGCAAGCTTTACCGGGTCCAAACACAGCGTCACTTTATTTCCACCTTCCTGTGTCTGTCACAATAGAACAAGCTTTAAAGGAGTTAAACGCTGTCAATGGAAATAAATCCGCTGGTCCTGATGGGTTATCCCCAGTGGTCCTTAAAACATGCGCAAACCACCTCGTACAAACCGTTTAATTTGTCTCTAATACATGTCTGGCAGAAGGAAAATTAGTTAACACATGGCGTGATGTGCGCATCACTCCATCACTTAGAAAGAAAAGGTTAAGTTTCGGCCTATTGTCTCATCTTCAGTATTACTTAAGACTTTGGAGCGTATTATTATTAAGCACCTATTCTCTAATCTTGATTTTCATGATTCCA